AAGAAACTGCAAAGATCAGGGCGGCAATTAAAGAGAATAAAAGAATCAATGAATTGAAGAGTGAATTCTTTGAAAGATTAAATAAAGTTGCCAGGCCTGGTGGCTCACGCCTGTAATCCCAGCACTCAGGAGGCTGAGGTGGGAGGATTGTTGCAAATTAGAGACCCGCCTGGGCTACAAAGTGAGCTCAAGGCCAGTCTAAACTGCATAGCAAAACCCCGCCTCAAAAAAAAAAAAAAAAAAAAAAAAGATTAAAATAAAATTGATAAATCCTTAGCCAACTTTATCAAAAATGGACTCAAATTCAAGCAATTAGGAATAAAACATGGGTGAAATCACAACAGATTCTTTAAAAATCCAGAAAATTATCCGTACCTACCTTGAAAACCTGTATTCTATTTGGGGATGACAATGCACAATATATGCACCATTGCTGCTCCCTGATGAGTGTATTTTGAAATTTTGTTGTAGTTTTTTTTTTTTCCTTTTTCTTCTTTTTTTTCTTAATCCTTGAAATACAATGGACTCAGAAAAAGAAAGAAAACCTATATTCTAATTGGATGGAAAACATAGAAGAAACGGACAAATTCCTAAATACATACATTTGATTACCAAAGCTGAATCATGAAGATACAAAAACTGTAAATAAAGCAACAGTCAATGAAATCGAATTAAAAACCTACAACAAAGAAAAGCCCAGGCCTAATGGATTCACTGCTGAATTCTATAAGCAATTTAGAGAAAAATCTAATGCCACTACTTCTCAAACACTTTAATGAACCAGAAAGAGAAGCAACACTTCCAAATTCATTCCTGGAAGCAAGCATTACCTAATACCAAAACCAGAGAAGGAGCCAAGCAAAAGAAGAACTATAGGCATAAAAGCTCCCTAATGAACATAGATGCAAAAATCCTGAATAGGAGAGTAGCAAATAGAACGCAGCAAATCATCAAGATTACATACCATAACCAAGTAGGGATCATCACAAGTATACAGAATGTTTCAACATGTGCAAATCTATAAATCTAATACATCATATTAACTAAGCCAAGGACAAAAACCATATGATCACCTCTATAGATGCAAAAACATTTGACAGGGTCCAACACCCATTCATGAAAAAATCCTGCAGAAAAGTGTAATAGATGGTCTTTATTTCAATCTGATAAAAGCCATCTATCACAAACCAACAGCCAACATCATACTAAATGTACAAAAGCAGAAAGTTTTCACTCTAAAATCAGGAACAAGACAAGGATGTTCACTGTCACTCTTATTCATATACACAAGTAACAAACTCACTGATAGAGAAATCAGGGAAACATCTTTCACAAAAACATCCCCAAAAAATGAAATACCTAGGAATCAATGTAATTAAGGAAGTATAAAAGATCTTAATTGAGCTGGGGATTTAGCTCAGCGGCATAAGCGTCTGCCTTGCAAGCAGGCAGTCATGAGTTCGATCCCCAGTACCGATAAAAACGAAAAAGACAAAAAAAAAAAAAAAGATCTAATTGAAAACTATAGTACTCTGAAAAAGGAGATTGAAGAGAATATTAGAAAATGGAAAGATTATCATGTCCTCTTAGATAAAAGAGCCAATATAGTGAAAATGGCCATACTTCTAAACTGTTATATAGATCAACGCAATATCAATCAAAAGTCCAACAGCATATCTCATAGAATTAGAGAAAACAATCCTAAAATTCATCTGGAACCAAGAGAGACCTAGAATAGCAAAGGCAATCCTGGGAAAGGCAACATGAGCATCACAATCCCTGACTTGAAATTATGTAAAGCTACTGTGATACAGGCAAAAAAAAAAAAAAAAAACGACCCACAGATGAATGGACACATTAGAAGATGCAGAAACAACTCCAGACACATTTAGCCACCTTATCTTTGATGAAGGAACCAGACACCTTACTAGAAGAAAGATCACACCTCTTTAATAAGTGGTGCTGGAAAACCTGGCTTTCTAGTTGCTGAAGAGTAAAACTAGACTCATATCTTTCACCATGCACTAAACTATAATTAAAATGGATCAAAATTCTAAATATAAAAACAGAAACACTAAACCTCCTGGAAGATAGAATAGGTAGAACTCTTGAAGACATTGGTGTAGGCAAATATTTTATGAACAAAACCCCTATTGCACAGGAAATATCACAAAGAATCAACATTTAGAATCTCATATAAAAAAGCTTTTGGGGGGGTCAGGGATATAGCTCAGCAACACAGCGCCTGCCTGGCAAGCACAAAGTCATGAGTTTGCTCCCCAGCACAGCAAAAGAAACCACCGAGTGAAAAGACAACCCACAAAATGTGAAAAAAACTTAACTGTTCCTCAATAGACTAATACCTATGATATATAAAGAACTCAAAAAAAACCCCTCAAATGTAAAGAAATGATCTAAAAAGAGGTATCCAAAATGAATATGCATCTCTCAGATGAAGAAATAGAAACAGCAAATAAATACATAAAAAACTGTTCAACATCACTGGTCATTCAAGAGTACAAATGAAAACTCTGAGATTCCCTATCACTCCAGAAGGAACGTCTATTATCAAGAAATCAACTCATAACAAACGCTAGAGGGGCTATGGGGAAAAAGGAGCCCTTCTCCACTGTTGGTGGGGTATAGCTTGATGCAGCCTCTATGAAAATCAGTGTGGAGACTCCTCAAAAACTAGGGCCAATGTGAGACCAGACAACGGCCATAACACAGTACACCTGTAGTGGCCTGACAAAGCTGGAGTCGCATGAATAACAGGAGTGAAGATTTACAGGGTTCCTCTATTTTCACAGACTCAGATAATTCCAGGTTTGAAAAGTATCTTAAGGATCCTCTAGGTCAAACCCTCATCTGAAGTGTCACTTTTACCTATGAATCTTCATCCAGGAGACTCATTTCCTAACAACAGAATCCTTTCTGTTTTTTATTTTGTCATTCATCGTTTTTCTAAATATATATCAATTCCAAACATTTCTTTGATGTTTTGAGTGGCCTAGTCTTCCTCAACCAAGAAATAAAATTAAGATATAATTGAAAAAAAAAATTAGAGCTAGAGATCCACCTGGACCTAACTATTGGCCTTCTTGGTATCTTCCTAAAAGAATTAACAGCATCATACGACAGCAATATATGCACACTCGTGCTTATAGCACCACAGTTTGTAAAAGCCATATCTTGGGAACAGCCCAAATGCTAGGAAAATCCAATCAATGGATAAAGAAGCTGTTTTTTTTCTGCAGTGGAGTACTACTCTGCCATAAAGAAGGATACACTCAAGCCATGCAAATAGATGCACCTTGAGACTATACGCTTAAGTGAAATAAACTGGACACACAGGTTTAAACACCATATTGTTTCTCTGGCCTAAGAAACCAAAAGTGTAAAGAAGGACCAAAATGTATAATAGAATTGGGAATTGAGAAGAAAATGTTTAAATGAGAAAGGGAATAAGGGAGGTGGGAGGAGGAAAGAAAAGGGACAGAACAAAAAGAGAATAAAAGAAAAAAAGCAAAGCAAATAAGAGAGCTCAGTGCAAAGGCCTTGGGCTCAATCCCCAGTACCAAATAAAGATTAAATTTTTAAAGTGAAAGGGTGGGATGTAGCTCACTGGCAGAACGCCTGTCTGATTGATCCCAGTACTGCAAGTCGGCCAGTCAAGAGCTCACTATTTAACTCCAGAGTAATGGCACCAGGTTCAAATCCCCAGCACCACACACACTTCACACAAAAACCAAAGAAGACAATATGCATAAATACACTGCGCTGTACCAACCCCTGCTAAATTGTGCTTTACACCTAAATGCCCCGCCAAAGCCTCCAGCACACACAGATGAGCACAATGACCAATCCAGGGTCCGCTCACTGCTGAGTTGTACTGGCCTGTGCTGGAGGTGGAGCTGGTGTGCAGAGGGGGTCACTGAGTGTGGCCTGCAAGGGCTTCTCTTATCCTCGCCTCCCTTTATTCAGTCTTTCTCTGCTTACCGGTATACAGAGGAGCCATCTCTCCTCTGCTGGGTGATGCTGCCATCCTGTCCTGCCTGGGGCCAGCTGGCTATGGACTGACACTTTTGCAAACTGTGAGCCAAAATAACAGTTTCTTCCACGGAGTTATGAGTGTCAGGTACTGTATCTCACTGCTAGGAAAGTGACTAAGACAATTAACGTAAGGCAGAATCTTCTACTCCTCTCTGTAATTTTGTTTTTCCTTCTTTGCTCTTGAGTCTAATAAACACCAATGCTACACTGCTGTCTTCGTGCCTTTGCTCTTTCTCTTAGTCCACAATTCCTATCTAAAACATTTTCCTTCTCTCCATCTCTCACAAGTACTTCATTCTGATGTTTACCCATCTGGGTAGGAAGAAATGCAAAACCTTTAATCAGAATAATCTCCCACTATTTCCCTGGTCTTCATCCAGTATTTTCCCAGTAACTGCACTCACTCTAGTCTCTGAAAGTTAACTTCTGAGCTAATCAGCATTTGGACTGCCTAACTGTAAGCATCAACATAGAGTTGCACACTGCTAATCCATTGAAAATATGTTCACATTATATTCAAAGACATAAATAAACCTAAGAGTTAAAACCGTAACTCTTGAGGGCAACATAAGGGGAAAGCCTCACACGAGCACATCTAGCAATGATTCTTAGACATAACACCAAAAGCAAAGGCAACAAAAGAAAATCAACAGGCAAACTGGTCTTCATTAAAACAGAGCTTCAACCCAGCACTCTAGAGCTTGAGCCCAGCCTAGGCAGTGAGTAAGACCCTGTTTTCAAATAAAAAAGATCTGGGGATGCAGCTCAGTGGAGAGGCTCTGGGTTCTTTCCTCAATACAGAAACAAAAAACACTCAATCCAATTTAAAATTGAGTGGAATACACACTTCTAAGATACACAAATAGCAAAAAGATGTTCAGTATTACAAGTGACCCATGAAACATAAATCAAAAACACAGATAGAGGTCAGCCATGGTAGTGCACACCTGAAGTCCTAGAACTTGGGGAACCGAGGCAGGAGGAATGCCACAAGTTTGAGGTCAGTCTGGGCTACATGGCCTGTCTCAAAAAACACAAAAAAATAAGTAAAGAAATAACAAATCACAGACAGTAAACAACCATTATTCAAACTTACAACAAAGAACACGTCTAGCATGAGAAAAAGCTGAAAGCTCTGTGTGCTGTACTGAGAATATAAAACCATGCAGCCACTTACCTGGTTCCTCGAAGTACTAAACTAGCAATCACACTATGACCCAGTAATCGCTCTCAGACATACATACAAAAAGGAACTGAAAGCCAAAAAGGAACTGAAAGCCAGGGACAGACATGGGTGCACCCATGTTCATACCAGTATTTTGAGCAAAAAGTAAAATCAAGCCAGGCACGGAGCACACATGCTTAATCACAGTACTCCAGAGAGTCTAAGGCAGGCAAATCACAAGATTGAGCCCAGCCTCCACAATTTAGTGACTTGGCAGGACCTCATCTCAAACTAAAAAGGGTTGGGGATTTGGCTCAGTGCAAAGGAAATGTATGCAGCCCCCAGAACCCCACCACTGCCACTCCTGCCCCCTCCCCCAAAAAAAAGTGGTAACAGGGCTGGGAATTTAGCTCAGCAGCATAAGCACCTGCCTGGCAAGTGCAAGGTCATGAGTTCGATCCCCAGTAACAAAAAAAAAAAAAAAAAAAAAAAGCGTATGTGAAAACAAACAAACCACCCAAGCATTCATCAACATGTAAGTGTAGTATTACATACAACAGAATATTACTTGACCATAAGGGTTTTGATACATGTTCTAACACAGATTAGCCTTTTTAAAAATTACATGAAATTAAACAAACCAGACGGACAACAACAAATAGTTTATGAACCTATTTATGTAAGGTGCTTATTATGAACAAATTGGTCTTCATCAAAATTTAAAACTCGGGGCTGGGGATTTAGCTCAGCAGCATAAGCGTCTGCCTTGCAAGGAGGCAGTCTTGAGTTCGATCCCTGGTACCGATAAAAAGGAAAAAGACAAAAAAAAAAAAAATTTAAAACTCCCATTGGGCACAGTGGCACACACCTCTAAGAGGCCTGCACAGGGCAACGTGAGATGGTGAGGGGAGACAGAAACTCAAGACTGCAAAGTTCGACTGGTAGTAATGAAATGTTTCAGAAACGGTGGCAATGGTTACCATGACATTGTGAATGCAACTAATGTCACTTAAAGATGGTGAAAGCATATACTTTATTTTGTATTTTACTCCTCCCCAAAATACTACCTTTATTCTAAGTGCTTAAAAATCTAGCTCACACGTACAACAAAGTTAGGATACCTGTAACCAGTGTGGTGGTGCATGCTGTAATCCCAGCACTCAGGAGGCTGAGGCAGGAGGATCGCTGCTAGTACAAGGCCAGCCTGAACTACACAGCAAGACCTAACTCAAAAAAACAGTTACGACACATGAAAACACTATCTGAATCTCAACACAAAGTCCTCTCTGAAAATAATTTAAATGGATGCTTTCTAATCAAAACAGTATTTATAACTACAAAGACAGAATGCCATTATTTTGTTCAAGCAGTCAAATCAGAAGAGAACCCTTAAAATTTCTCTAAAGTCTTAAGGCTACTTGGAGATACTATTCTTTTTGTATTACTCATTATTTCAGTGACTTACTATTACCAGATCAGCACTGTATCTATAACAAATTTTCTATTTCCTCTGGTCAGAGAACGGCAGTTACAAATGAAGGAAGAAGATCAGCCTGAACTTTGTGCTACTGGACTGGAAATGAAGGTATCGGGATGCACGGACTTCTAACACACAAATCCACACACACATGCACGTGCACTAATTAAAAGATGCATCAGTAAACACAGATGCTGCATGGATTCATACACATGCACATATTTCTAGTTCATGCACCTCATAGCACAAATACAGAGATCCCAGGTCACAGTTTCTAAACACCATTTTCCAGTAAAGAAGAGCTCCTTAGAAACACCAAGGCCACAGCAAAGAAATGTAGGTTCATCATAGACTCTCTGATGCGGCCAGAAAATAAAAGTGGCTTCCTAAAGAAAAGATAGGGCTAGGCTGAAAGGACAAACAGCCAACCTAAAAGTAGTAAGTGGCAAAGTAGGTGTCAGATTATAAGCCTTAGAGAAAAATAAATGTCCACACCTCAAAACCAATAAAAACAAATTATTATATACAAATAGATATAGACTAGGATCAGATCGTTATCTGCTTTCTTTTCTTTTGAGACAGGCTGTTATGACACTGCACTCACGTGTGCAAGTTATCCACCTGTAGCAGCCTCCCACGTAGGTGGGACACGTAGGCAACCTCCAGCACACCAGGCAGAAGGGCTCCTCCCTCCGGGTTAACTCCAATGGAGAAGAGGAAGAAAAACACAAAACCAAAGCAGAACACTTGGGGCCAACCTGAACCCCAGAGTAAGACCCACTCTCAGTGAAGGAAAGGAGGGAGGGAGGTGTGGTAATGCTATCCTAACCAAATGAGAGTCACCATCAACTCTAACAGGTTACCATGACGTCCTGCACCCCAAGATTCCACACACTGAGGAGGATTTAAGATCCTTGCTGCAGTACTCGTGCCAAAGTGCACAACCTCCCCCTTAAGAGAAAACAGCAAACCTGCATGGGAAGATATTCCACAAAGTGACTGGCCACACTCAACACAAGTGTGAAAGTCAGTAAAGAGGAAACGAAAACTTATCACAGACCAAAAGTGACTGATGAGACACAACAACAAAGTGTGAAGTCTGCTCCCAGACTGAATCCTGAAACACAACAAAGGCACTGGCAGGAAAATGGCAGAGTCAAACAAAACCTACAGATTAGTTACTAGCTTTTTATCACTGCTAATTTTCTGATTATGATCACTATGCTAACTGTATAAACTGTTAATAATAAAAAATGATGGGTAAATGACACACCTTAGTTCCCACCTTTGCAATTTTCTCTAACAGTATTGCAACATTGTAAAAATTTAAGTATCTGTACCTCTCTTCTTCAACAGAATACTTACAAACGGTACATTCAACATTCCATTCCAAGTAACCTGTTAGTTCTAATGAACAAGACTTCTTACTGAGATAACAGGTGCTCATTAAACATTTACTATACCCAAGACCAAAAAAGGGGCTGAAGATGTGTTCCAGAAGCTTCCAGTTGGTAAGAAATAAAAATGAATTATCAACTTGATGGGAGGACAAACACTGGCACACACATAATGTAATCACTAAATAACAACAGGGACATACATGTGACAGCATGGTCAAACCCTGGACTGGGAGTAGCACGGTCTGTGAGTGTGCCTGTGAGTGTACCTCTAGGAGTGTGCCATTTGATGAGCAAACATTTCTAAGTCTTAAGTTGCTAAATGAGTGGTGTCTTAACTGCAACAGTACATTGCGCCGAATCACAGGATAGTGTTGTTTGCGCTCTTGCTTTCTCTCTCTCTCTCTCTTTCTCCCTCTCTCTCTCCCCCCTAGCATCTCTAACTCTGGTTGCTCTGATGAACATGTAAGAGCTTTGGATGACTCTCACCAACTAAACTTTTATTTACATATAAAGGAACATCTCTTGGATAACTAAAATCTGCAAATGACACTTACACCTGTATACCTGGAGGTGGATTAGTGACCCCAGTGTCATAGGCTTGCCAATCACATACAGTCACTGGTGTTCAAAGCTTCAAAACTGCTAAGTATTTTCTATCAAAGATCATCTCCCTGAACTAAAAGGAAGCTGTTCACTTTCAACTCCCACATTAAACAACAAAAGAGAGGTAATACTAGGAAAAATTAAACAGAACAGTCTGTAAATCAGAACAATTTCAAGCAGGGCATGGTGGTGAATGCCTGTAATCCCAGCACTCATGAGACTGAGGCAGGACTGCAAAGCTGGAGGCCAGTCTGTACTACACAGTATGTTCAAGGTCAGCCTGAATAGTATAGTAAGACCTAGTCTTAAAAATAAATTTTAAAAAAACCTCAAAAAAGTACCTAGATCAATTTACACAGAAAATGTGTGGATAAAGGTAGTTCAGTGAAAGTCAAAATTTCTTTTTTTTTTTTTCTTTTTCATTCTTATCGGTACCAGGGATCGAACTCACGACCGCCTGCCCACAAGGCAGGCGCCCATGCCACTGAGCTAAATCCCCAGCCCCGAAAGTCAAAATTTCAACCAGTACAAAAATACTACAAATTTACTACAGAACGAGTTAACTTAATTCTTTCTTCAAAATAATTAAGTTCACAACAACTGAGAGAAAATATTCCTCATCCCCTTCCTCCAAATGATTCAACTAACAGGGCTCAAGTTACACAACAATTGTTGAATAACCACGCATGGGAAGATTCAAGGGCTGATCCTATCATAAATTTACAAAACTTAACTGATAACCCATAAATGAAAAAGACTTTTTTAATCAAAACCAAACATTTTTCCAGCCCATACAAAGACACAGCAGATGAGATGGAGCAGTGCAACCTTATATAAAGTCTGGCAAAAAGAAAAGCTTTTAAAACAACTCACAGATAGTTTATTTATCTGTAAATGAAAAAACTCAGAGGACAGAGACCAAATCAGAAAACAGTACCCCAGCAGTTTTCTTTTTTGCTAATTTTTTAAAGTATACTCATTTTATTTTACAACTTTTAACTACTATTAAATATTCTAAGAAATACAAGACATCAAAGCAGGTCAAGGATGCTACCATTTGTGCAAAAGTGAGGAGAACAATACACAAATACAGTACTTGCTCATAGGTGCAAAAAATATCTTTAGAGCCAGGCGTGGTTGTACATAACTATAATCCCATCTTCAGGGAGGCTGAGACAGGATGATCACAAATTAGAGCTCAAAGCCAAGCACAGAAGTACATGCCTACAACTCCAGCACTCAGAAAGCAGAGGCAGGAGGAATGCCCAGAGTTTGAGGCCAAACTGGGCTACACACTGAGCTGAAGGCCAGCCTGAACTACATAGCAAGATCCTGTCTCAAAAAATAAAAATAAAAATAAAGCAGTGGGCAGGAAGTTTGCTCAATGCAAAGACCTTGATTTTGATCACCAGCAACACAAAAAGGCAGTATCTTTGGAAAGATATATAAGGAACTGCTAATACTGACAACAAAGGAAACCAGGTAACAAGGACAATGTGGATGGAGATTTTAACACACCCTATTTAACATTTGAAATTTTGAACACCAAAAGATAAATCCTAATGCACTGCATTTCCATCCTTTTCCACTAGAATTTTCATTCTGAGAGGGCAGAGTTTTGTCTGTTTTTTTAACTACTGTCTCCATATTGCCTGCACCACAGCTGATGCTGGAAATCATTTCTTGAATGAATGACATCTAGAACTTTTAACTTAACGACTTGTAGATCCTAGTGCCTGCTCCTCAGCTCCACTTGAAGAACCAGCTCTCATCAATCCAACTCTGTCCCTATAACCTATTTCCCTTACCTCAGTATACAGCGTCACCATCCTCCTGATGAAGAACTCAGGAGATGCCCAGCCCCAGCCAACTGCACACAGATCCAAACTGTGACCAGTTCAATAAATCCCTTGAATGCCCAAACACGTCACAGAAACCCGGCTGTCTCTTAGCAGCCCATGGCTACCACTCTGTCCATCTCCGTTTTTCTGTTCCTCTTCAGTCAAAACTCAAAGGGTGAATCAGACCAAATACTCTCGGCTTTATAAAATACTCCAATATCTTTTCAGGATACTTTAAGAATTAAAAACAAGGGGGCTGGGGACTTAGCTCAGCGGCATAAGCGCCTGCCTTGCAAGCAGGCAGTCGTGAGTTCGATCCCTGGTACTGATAAAAACGAAAAAGACAAAAAAAAAAAAAAAAAGAAAGAATTAAAAACAAACTCCTTCGGACAGTAAAATATGAACTTTTCTCACCAAGGTCCACCTTATCCAAGATGCTTTTGGCTTGATAGCCCCAAGACCAGTATCATATCAAGTTTTTCGATGCACAATTTCCCAAGAAATAAACACTCTTTCATCAGAATTTCCAAAAGGCAGATTAAAGCATGAGGTGAGTTCAATCCCTGATACCACAAAAAAAAAAAAAGCCAAAAGGCAGATTCAGACAAGTGTGGTAGCACACACCTGTGTCCTAGCACTTAGGAGGCTATAGGCTGAGGCAGGAGGATCCTTGGGAGTTCAAGCCCATCCTGGACTACAGAGTGATTTCAAGGCCAGACTCCACAATAAAAAAAATAAAATAAAAAAGCCTAGATTCTTCATCAGGTTAAAGGTCACCTCAGAAGGGCCTTTCTTGACTACAGTGTATTATGTGAAATAATCTTCCCCCAGTCACATCTCCATACTTTACTTTCTTCATAGCACTTAACTTCTCCAATATTTTTTTTTCTTATTGTGTCTTTCCATCTCCAAGCAGAACTACAGCTCCAAGGGGGTAGAAATATCACCTCACTATGTTGTATCTCTAATGTCTGCAATCTTGCTTGGTGTATGTGTTGAATACTTAATATTTAAGGCAAAACTAGGAGAAGGTCCACAACATTTAGTTTAACTTACTAACGATAAAAGACATGCATAAACTCTATTTACAAAAATACTTAAAGTCACCAGAAAGTATGGGTAATATGAAGAGTATGTCAGATACACATGAACATCTAAACATTCAGAAGATGCCTCTTTGATGGCAGACACCTGTAATCCCAGCCCTCTGGAAAGCTGAGGCAGAATTATAAGTCAAGCTCACCTTAGGTAACTTAGTGAGACCCTGTCTCAAAATTAAAAAAGGGCTCGGGATGTAGCTGATGATGTGAAGGCTCTGGGTTCAATGGACAGTACTGCAAATAAACAAATTTTCAAAAGATAACAATGCACATTGTAGACATGTTTCCCACTCATACACAGAATCTGAAAAAAACATAACTCAAAATACTATGCACATACAATTGTTACATCATCTGTGACTCTTTTGGAAGGGTTTTCCAAATCATGAATATGGGCAAAAGAGGTACAGAATAACTAATCAATTATTTTGCCTGTCTTGAAAAGGTACAGGAAATAGAACAGTAATCATTTCTCATTTTTCCTACGAACAAAATAGTCTGTTCACATAGTAGGTCTCATTCAAAGATTTTTATATTATTGAAAAGCCAGAGTCAATAGTAAATGTTAATATTTTCTGGTTACCTGCAAACAAAAGTTTCAGAGTAGTGTCATTCAACTGGTAACAATAATCATGAGGAAAAGAGAACTTAATACACAGCCTACACCCCATAGATGTTATAGTTGCATGCCCATAATGGTAGGGAATGTATGGGCCAGACTATCCAGTGTGTAAGCAAGTCTAAGTCTGAGGACTTATTTCACCAGCCCCTAAGTGTAAACAGGAGGTCTCGCATGCACAGAGAATCCTCCTTCTCAAAGCTATCAATCCTTGCAGTCTGCGAAAACAAAAGTGAAAATACTCGTGGTGAGGATGCATGGGATTGATGCCACCACCACCACCCCAACAAGGACTTCTGCACCCGTGTGGGTTCGGAAATCAGCAGAAGCACACGCACCTCACCTTCCCTCTCTGGGAGGAAAATGGGGCCGAGGGAGGGCGGCGAGGGCCGGATCGAGGAGGCCGGGATCCGGTCCCTGGATGGCCGGAATACGGGTCAGCCCTCCGGGGAGTCGAGGTCACTGACAGGACACCACCTCTCCTGGCCTCCCCCTCGCTTCCGTCTTCCCTGAGCCCTCCAGCCCCCAACTCCTGTCCACCATCCCCGCCACCCAAGAACCGGGAAGTTTCCCGGCGCCTGCGGCCCGGCTCTCCAACTCTTTGCGGGGTTACCTTCCGCAGAAGCAGGACAAGGGGCAGGGGCAAGGGGAGGGGAGGCACCCGAAGGAGCGAAGGACGAGCCCCGGCGAGGAAGGTGGGCGGCGGCGGCGGCTGTCAGCTCGCGTCCCCGCTCACCGCGCTGCCATTACTGAGCGCCGAGGCCGCCTCCCGCCGGGCGCCGCCACCCTCCCGGGGACGCGGGGGGAGCCGAGCCCGCGCCGGCGCTCACGAGCCTCCGCAGGAGCCCCGCCACCCAGCCTGGCGCCGTTCCTGGGGAAGAAGACACAGACGTGTCGATCACAGGCTCAATAAGTCAATCGTTCTCACCACTGCCGGCTGCACTCACCACAGTCGTCTGCTTCCGCTGCCGCCGAAGGCCCCCACGGGAAGCAATGGTAGATTCCACACTACGGCAAGCGCTGGGAGCCCAGATTCCTGAGATTTCGAAGGCCACGGAAGTCGACCTACGCAGGGATACCCGGGGGTATGCACTTGTCAAGGAGAAGATAGTGCGCCGAGCTCAAAAGGCACCGTACGCACCGAGTTATGGGACAACTGACAAATTAAACATGGTGTTTTCAACAGAAGTGTTTCACCTTGGGGCATCTCAGACTTGCCTGAATATTTTTTTAAATTACTGGGGATCGAACCCAGGATCTTCACACTAAACTACATGCCCAGCTCGTTTTTATACCTATTTTTATGACAAGGTCTCGCCAAATCGTCCAGGCTGGACTCGAATTTGCGATACTCCTGCCTCAGCATGTCAAAGTGATGGAATTACAGGAGTGTGCCACCACTCCTGGGTCTGCGTGAATGCCTAAAACACCACACACCACTAACCCCTTGCCACACGCACCCATGAGTTTTGCAGATAATCCAGACTACTAGATTATAATTATAATCCAAACTCCCCTTCCCTCTAACAAGCTCCATCTCTGATGGATTTTTATGTATAGACTAACTCAGGGACATTCTCCTGCCTTAAGAGTTTAAAGGGCAGGGGCTGGGGATTTAGCTCAGCGGCATAAGCGCCTGCTTGCAAGCAGGCAGTCGTGAGTTTGATCCCCGGTACCGATAAAAAAGAAAAAGACAAAAAAAAAAAAAAAAAGTTTAAAGGTCAGTAGTGACAGAAATGTAAATGTAAATGTACCCAACATATTTCCAAATGCACAAACCACAAGGGAACAAAGGCCCAGCGTGGTTTGTTAATTGCCTTTGATGACCAAAATGTCAGTGGTCAGTGATTTGTGCATTTGAAGCAAGCATTTCCCTTTTGGATCCTTTCTTCTAAACTGTGCCAATCCTTCAAAGCCCATTTAAAAGCCTGGATCCTGACCTGATCAAACCCCATCAACAGGCACCTGGAATGCCAGCACTTGGAAAACTGAAGCAGGAGGATCACCATGAGTTCGAGGCCAACCTGGGCTGCATAGTGAGTTCAAGACCAGCCTGGACTACATAAATGAGATCCTCTGGGGGGGGGGGGCATCAATCGCTCTCCTCTTCTAGAAACCTGTCTTTTCTGGCACAAGTCTGTACTGTATTAAAAGACATATTGTATTCCAAATTTGACCATTTTGTTTGCATAAAAATGTTTTTTTAATGCTCCCCTTCTTTTAATCTAGTGATTCTCAAAGTGTGATCCCCAGACTTTTGGAAACTCCCTGAGACCAAGTTTACAGATTATTTTCGTAATATACTATGTTCTTTATCTTTTTACTTTGCCTACTTTGACATCCACGGTGCAATGACCAATGGTAATGCTGACACTAGAGGAATTGGGGCATGCCGGGATGGTGGGCCATCCTGGTGGGCCACACACTGGCAATTCTAGCACTTGGAAGGCTGAGGCAGGAGAATCTCAAACTCAATCCTAGACTAAGTAATTTAGCAATTTAGGGACACTCTGTCTCAGAAATTTAAAAATAAATTTAAATAAGAGCTGGCGTGATGGCACGTATGTGTGATCCCATGATCCCAGCTCTCAAACATGGAACCCTGAGACAGGAGGATCTCTGCAAATCAAGGTCAGCCTGGGCTATACATTGAGTTGCAGATTAGCCAGAAATGCAGAGGGAGGATAAAAAGAAAGAAAGAAAAGAAATGCAGAGGGAGGCCCAAAATTAATTAAAATTTAAAAGGTTGAGACTGGGGATTGGCTCAGAGGCATAAGTGCCTGCCTAGCAAGCCCAAGGTCATGAGTTTGATCCCTGGTTACAAAAAAAAAAAAAAAAAAAAAAAAAATTCAAAGGGTCTGGGAATGTAGCTCAGTGCAAAGGTCCTCTGTTTAATCCCCAGTAACTCCAAAAACCTAAGAAACTCTGAATTGTACAGACTTTAGTTAGGAACATGCCTCTATATTACTGCATTAATTGTAAACACCATAATACTATAATGAGTTAATAAAGGCAGAGTTAGGGGGAATGCATATATTAGTTCATTTCACATAATTAAAACAAAATGTCCCAGCTGGCTGGCCTTACCAAGAAGATTTAACTCACAGGTTTGGAGGTCCAAATTCCCCACGGAGATGTCCTTCTTCCTTCAGAGGTTCCCGGTGTCGCCTGGCAAGCTCCTGGTGCAGAGACCACTCTGTGTGGCTTTTACTTCTCTCCGTATTGTAAAGCCCCCAGGATCCAGCCTCGGAAGCTGATCTTACAGTAACTCAAAGGGAAAGCACTGGTGGCTTCTGCCAGGAATCCCAGCTCTCTGAGGCAGGAAAATGACAAGTTTAAACCCAGCCTGGGCAATTTTGTAACTAGGTGTGAGACCTTTTCTCAAAATGAAATATAGAGCTGGGTGTGGTAGTACACACCTCTAATCCCAGCACTTGAGAGGCTGAGGCAGGAGGATTGTCTCAAATTGGAGGCTAGCCTGGACTGAAAAGTAGTACATGGCAAGCCTGAAATGTAGACTGAGACCCTGTGTCAAAAACACACACACAAAAAAAATATAGAAAGGCTGCAGATACAGCTCAGTGTAAAGACCTTGGGTTCAATCTCTTACACACACAAAGCAAAAACCAACATCCCCACCTCTAACCTCCATAATCCCTTCCAGTTTCCACCTTCTCTCACTATCTGTGATAGACTCTGATTTTGTGGTCCAATCGCTGCATGAGTTGGGACTGAAGGGCAAAAACCATATTTACATCACAATGAGATCTGATCAGTTTATCTGTGAATTAAAACTGTTTTAAATAACTCCATTAAAACTGGGCCTGGGGCCGGGGATTTAGCTCAGCTGCATAAATGCCTCCTGGCAAGCTCGAGACCTTGAGTTCAATCCCCAGTACCAAAAAAAAAAAAAAAAAAAAACAATAAAACTGGATTTGGTAGCATATGCCTGTAATCCCAGCACTGGGAAGGCTGAGGCAGGAGGATCGTTGCATGTTTGAGACCAGCCTGGGCTACAAAGTGAATCAAGGCCAACCTGAACTGCACAATGAGAGCCTGTCTCAAAAAGACAAAAGTTAAATAAAACAAACAAATAAATAAATAACTACATTATTTTTTCTAAGCTCAGCTGGATGTGGTGGCACATTTCTATAATCCCAGCACGCAGAAAACTGAGACAAGATCACCACAGATTAGAAGCCAGCCTTGGGCTACATGGTGAATTCAAGACTAACCTGAATTACATTATGAGACCTTACCTCAAAAACTAAACAAAGCCAGGCATGTTGGTACATGCCTTTAATTCCAGCACTCGAGACTGAGACAGGACGACTGTTTCAAGTTTGAGACTAACCTGGGCTACAAAGTGAACTCAAGGCCAGCCTGAACTATATAGTGAGTACCTGTCTCAAAAAGACAAAAAACAAAAACCACTCATCTAATCCCTTTTAAAAGAGTTGTGCATGGTGGCGTAGGTATACAATTCCAGTATTACAGCAGATAAGGCAAAGGGAGCATGGGTTAGAGGGTGGCCTGCTGAGCCCAGTGTGGTGAGCCCAGCATTTCAGAGACTGACCCAGGAGGATCACTACAAGTTCAAAGCCAGCCCAGCTAAACAGTGAAACCTTGTCTTAACAGTAAAACCCCGTTAGACAGACAGAGAGACAGAGAGAAACAGAGAGACAGACAGAGAGAGAGAGAGAGAGAGAGAGAGAGAACAAGATCTAATCAAAAAAAGCTAAGAAACCAGGCATGGTGGTACATACACATCTGTAATCCCAGTGTTCCAGAAGCTGAGTCAGGAAGACTACTGCAAATTCAAGGTCACTCTGTACAGAATGAGTTCAAGACCATTTTGGGCTACATAGTGAGGCTTTGTCTCAGAACAAAAACCAAAACAAAACAGATCAACAGATCAACGTGCCCTAGATTAGGGCATAGTGAAGCTGACTGGGAAAGTAGGTAGACATGTTAATTACTGGGTCCTAGGTGAATGCAGTTTCCAACTCTGCCTGTGGGCTTTCCCAGCAGCTGGGTTTAGAGCTGTCGTCTGCCTGAAGTGTGGAACCCCAGCACCCGATCGCTTGGGAGTTGCAAATTTCCTCAAGATGTGGACCTCATAATGCAACAAAGATGCCAAGAACAGCTTGCTATCTTGACTTTCTTTACAGTAGCTGTCCCTGCTTTCTCCAGGGTGTGCTTTTCTCCTGCATTTTCTCCTTTTATTCAGCCCAAGCCTGCGGAGTGTTTCTCCCTGGTGTATCCCTTGAACTTTTTCAAATCAATTTGACTCCTGCTTTTGACTCATCTCCTTCAGTTCTTCCTTCCACATAAGAAGAACCTGCAACCTAACTCCAGTAGAGGTGATCAACCCAAAACCCAGTAATCCTGTAACCTTTATTTGGCGATCCCTTTTTAAAGTTTGTTTTGGTTTTTTTGGTTTGGTTTTATTGGTTTGGTTTTTGAGACAGTATCTTGCTATATATTTCATGTTGGCCTTGAACTCTTGGTGACCCTCCTGACTCAGCCTCTCAAGTACGAGGATTACAGGCGTGTGCCACTACACCTAGCAGTGAGCTACTTTTAAAGGAGTGAACTCATCCATTTTGGCATAGCCAACAGAAGAATCAATAAAAAAAAATTACCTGTGAGTGAGACAGGAGAATTACAAATTCAAGCTCAACCTTGGCGGTTTGGTGAGATCCTATTTCAAAATATACTTTTTTCCAAATCCATTTTATTTCAAGGAGAAAAAGAAAAAAAAAA